CTTGAACCAACATAATATGTCTCTCCTTCCCCTCCCCTCTAAAGATAAATAAATAAAATATTTAAAAAAAAAAGAGGAATTCCTTTCTCCATATCACATGTAACATGGTTGTTTTCATAAGTTGAACAGTGAAAAATACTCTACAATCACATTTACCTACAAATCTCTACACATTTTTCAAATTAGCATGGACTAGATTTTAAAATGAGAACTCTTTGCTAAGTTAGAATGTTTTTAAATTGTTTTCTGTTAGAAAAATCACACCAAAAATTTAAAAATATATATTTAGTGTAATTCTTCAACTCATTTGTTACAATACTCAGAAAGAAACTGAAACTGAATAATGTTTGAATATTTTAACAGAAGAAAGCACAGCCTGGAATATGGAAGATCTCAGTGATGAGGCAAAACAGGGTACGCATCATGCAGAGCAATTAAACCCACTCTCTGGAGAAACACAGTAAAGCAAAAGGCTTTCAGCCACCCAGTGGGTAATGATATCTCAGCAAGACAGATGCTGAGCCAGAGAATAGCACTAAGCTTAGATTATTTATATTTTTTAAAGTGCAAGGTTTGAATTTTTTTCTTGGATTCCAATTTCTTTTTTGAAAGTGTGTTTTTCTTACCCATGTGAGTCTCCTACAAAGTGATCGTCTGATCTGTTTGCAGCCAGACTTCATGCTCAGTTGAAACCATTTCTTTGTACCATTATTTCCATTCATTTTTTCAGTATAAAAAAATTAAATCTTAAAATAAATAAATAAATAAAAATAAAATCTTGGGGTTCTCTGCATTATGTTCCTTCCATTCAAGAATCATTATTTTTGAAATAATTTTACATGGATATTTACAATTAAAATAGCTAAAGGTTAGGCCTGCTTTTGTGATACAGTATAAAGATCTTAAATTATTATCCAGTTCTTATCCATATTATTACTTTGATTGCCATCAAAGTAAATTTAATCTTGGAAAATGCTGACAAGGAAGAAGGGGAAAAATTGGGTAAAAGTAAAATAGCATTTTATTACATATTAAGTGAATATACACATATTCACTTAATTGATATATGTAATATATTAATATATTAATATTAATTAATTAATACATTCCTATAATTACATATAAAGTTCAATATTAAGTGAACTTTATAGTGGCTTCAAAGTACCATGAACTATTTCTCTTTACCCTGTTTGCCTCAACATTCTCACATCTTCCACCTCCTACCCCTACACACACACACATTAATCTTGCTCTTTCCTCTTTTGTTCTATTTTTATATCTTAATCATAATCATGAAATGAGGAAGGAGAAATGAACAAGATTATGGTGATTAATAGCAGTGAATAAGGATTAAATTCTTTTGCTCCACTACATCATCTGCCCTTTAAAAAAAAGCAACAACAGTTTATTGTACTATAATAAACATATAGAAAGAGACTTTGCTAAATTTTTACAAACTGAGCACACCCAGAACACAGATTAAAAAATATTGAAGCCAACTTAGGAGCTCCTTCTCCACACACTCCAGATCCCTTCCAGTTATGCTTCACACTCACCCCTGGATAACCACTCTCCTGAGACTAAACAGCTAAAATAGTGGTGCTCATTTTTTTAGCTTTCTGTTAATGCAATCATTCAGTTCATATTCTTTTATTTTATCTGGCTTCCTTCACTTAACATTATGTTGTGAAATTCACAACTGCTATTCAAAAAGAAGCCCCTTCCTCCTTGCAGGAGATTCTGTTTAGTGGCTTAGTAGAGAGATCTGGTATATCTACCATTTGAGTGACTGCTCATCTTTCAAAATCTGGCCCTTCTAAACCTCTACAAAGTAGCAATGTGTCATACTCAGGAAAAGGATTTGCAGGATCTTGAAGAGCCTTCTGTATCATTACAAACAACTTCTCATTTGCTCTTTGAACTTTTACCATGCAATAATCAACTAATGCTGAATTCTAATTCATTTATTCACAAACAATTCTTGTATTTTTACTCCCTTTAACCTATAAAGGTAAATAAAAAATGAAATCTGGTACCTAAGGAGCATACAAGCTTTAAGAAATATAAGTAACTCTAATACAAATTAGAATAAATTTTATTTTTAAAAAAACACATATAGATAAGGTGATTTTTTAAAAGATTTTACTTATTTAGTTTTAGAGAGGGGAAGGGAGGGAAAAAGGGAGAGAAACATCAATGTGTGGTTGCCTCTCAAGTGCCCCCTACTGGGGACCTGGCCCACAATCCAGGCATATGCCCTGACTGGGAATCAAACTAGCAACCCTTTGATTCGCAGGCTGGCACTCAATCCACTGAGCAACACCAGCTAGGGCAGGTGATTTTTTTTTAGTACTAGTAACCTACATATGTTAAACATTATATTCTTATATATTTGGAGGGTTTAAATTAGAAGGTATGAGTGTTACTATGACCACAGGATGGAGAACAGATTAGAAGGAACCAAACTGGTTTCAAACTGGATGGAAAGACCCCAGAAGACAGTACAAGAGCCCAAGTGGTATCTTTGACTAGGGAAGCACTGGTGGAGATTGAGAGAATGGATCAGCATAGAGGTTCTTTAGAAAAGAACCTCATGTTTTTGTTTTGGTAACATGTCCTGATTAATGTACCATTTGTTCTTGTGTCTTCCGAAGGCATTTAATTCCCATAAAATATCCATACCAGTCTTGGTACATTTAGAACCCCAATGTTGACTAACACAGTCAGGTGTAGCCATTCTGCTTCCCAAGAAATATCTGAAAGTAGAAGTAGCACCTTCATTTTTTTATTTCTCTCTTTGCTCCTCACCCTATACTCCCCATACTTTGTTTTTATCTTGGCTAGAGTAGCTATTGTATTTTATTGTCCCTATCTTTTTATATAACCATCTGTTCATTATAATGTGGGTTCTGTGAGAACAAATGCTGTGGCTTAGTTATTTTTCTATCCCCTGAACTTATCAATGAACCTGGCCTATGGGATTTGACTGTATTAATGTATAAATAAATGTGCTAGCATGAACTAAATACCTTATTTCTGCTCTATCTTCTCAGCCTGTCTTTGGCTCTATATAATTGTCTTTATTTCCAGTCTAACTTAGCTTATTGACTGTTTTTTTTTCTGTGTACTCTACTTACTTTGATAAATATTTTTCTCCTAGTGGTGTCAGTGAACGTTTGGAAAATATCTCTTCTTCATGAATATCTTTGTTTATGTATAAAATCATTTTTCTAATTGCCTACATTTCATGGAATTGCTAGCCATTTTTCTTGTACCTCTTGGAGCTAATGAGCTAATTCTTTATCACTGCCATCATCATAACCATCACACATTTTAAGAATGTGCTGTGCTCAGTGTTCAACTTAGGGCAAGAGGATGGCAATGAGTAGCAGTGGCCCCTTCCGTGAGATTACCAGCTAAGACAAGAAACCAAAGGCAAGCCACAGAATTAAATAAGACATTTGAATGGCTAAAGATGTTTATATTACATAAAATAAAAATGTTAGAACTGTTTTTATAATATAATGATAAGAAGGCACATTTCTATGAATTAGAAATGAGACAAATAATTTTACTCTGAGCTCACAAGCAATTGGGCAACTGACCCATATATCATATTGGATTTGGGATGGTCCCCTAAAATGAAGCCTCATGTTTTTCTGATTCAGTTGTAATATCCCCCACATGGGGGTTCAAGATAAGAGTTGCTACCTATTTTCCTGTTATAAGAACTCTTACACCAATCTTTCTGCAAACCCAAGACGAATTCTAATCATAAAGAGAAAGCATAATCGACAAGGGATAAGAAGCTGGTGGCTTTAAAAACATGCTTCCTAGCCCTGACCAGGTGGCTCAGTTGGTTACAGTGTTGCCAAATGTGCCAAGGTTGTGGGTTTGATCTCCAGTCATGTTACATAAAATAAACAACCAATGAATGTATAAATAAATGGAACAACAAATTAATGTTTCTCTCTCTTTTTCCCCCTTTCTCTCCCTAAAAATTAATAAATTTTAAAAATTAAAAAAAAAAAACATGCTTCCCAACCACACTAAAAAGGCTGCCTGAATTAGATGTACTTTTAGAACAGGATCCATATTCAAAGATGCAGTTTGGGGAGTCAGGACAGGAGGTGAGGTGGACATTGGAGAGGTGAATTCCCGTCTTTGGAGAGCTCAAAGAAGAGTGGAATACTCAAAAAAAGCCAGCCATGGGAGGGGAAAAAGAGAGGATATGAATTTGTAGAAGCCACTACCTCACTCTTCAGGTCAGAATTCTGCCAGCCACATCCACCCTTATGGTGTCTCCTCAGCTCAGCATTCCTTCCAGTTCGTGATGTTAATTCTTGGCTTCCCTGCAACTTGGTTTATATAGCTATAAAAATCATAGAGAAATATGTGCATGCATTCGTAAGTACATACCATTTGCTAATTATTTCATTCATAAATACTTAATAGTTCATAATGTAATAATTCCCAAGCAACTAAATAGAAAAGTCTTTAAGTCCCAAATGTGTTTTCATCTTGAGATTTTCTTTTTAATCTGCTACAATAAATGACCAATTTTCTTGCATTTTCTCTCTTTACAAATATTACTACTTAGAATTTTTCTTCATTATTATTCTTTTGGTTTATAATTCTAGCACATATTTGTAAAACAAATGTTACTTTTAACTATACTAATGATAAATGAGTCAACAGTAAAAAATGGTATGAAAAGGGGCTTACATATGGAAATAAAATCACATAAATTTTTCTATTTTTTTTCTTGTTTAGTTTTTGTTTAATTTAGTTTTGTTTTTGTTTTCCTGGTGCTGAGCTTGAATGCTCAGAGAACAGTAGGTGACAGGGGACAGAAATATACTTACTTGGTAGAGCTTTGCTGCCATCTACTGTTTCTTTACATAACAACTCATTGCTTCTTTGAGTCTAAAAATTCAATAATCTGTGATTTACCATGCCATAGTTTCCACCTTTACTTCCTCCTTCTATTTTTTCCTTAGTTAAAGCAAAGTGAAGCAAATGCAGACACCAAAGAAAAGCTCCCTTTGCGCCTTCGAATCTTTGAGAAATTTCCAAACAGACCACAAATGGTGAAAATCTCAAAGCTTCCTTCAGATTTTACCGTTCCTAAAATCAGGTATTGAAGTATTACTTTCTTTATCTCAAATGCACTGTAAAAGATTCATCTTAAATATGATTCATCCCTTCCTTCAAACTACTGAAGATATGGATTTTTTTACTTTTAAAGTTATTTTTTATATTTCTACTCTCTCTACCTCTGTTTTAAAAACCACTGACCCCTTTAAGCAGTATACTAAAAGCGGTGTTGTCTGGAAGTGCAGTAGCCTAGGCAAGAGGGTCGCTTCCCACTGCCTCCCCCTCAGATGCTCCTTGAGGATTAGACTTCCCATGTAACTGGTGAAGGTGCTCAAGGCTGTGGAGATGGCAGATAGACATCGAACTCTGACCCTCAACTGTGGAAGATGAAATAGACTCTGAGGCCTTTTTATTTTTAAGTCAGTAAAGAAACACCACTGGCCAGATTTCCATACTACTATTATGGCATTTGTTTAGAATGTCATGTCTGATTACAATATAATTTTTCCTCTACTTTTTGAAAGGAGAACCAAGGCATTACCCCCTCATATCAATTTGATTTTCTACCACTTTGCCCTCTGGTTAAGCAGTTGCATAGAAGATGATTTAAAACATCTATTTCTAAAAATTAAAGGAAATTCTTCCAGTTATAGCTCAAAAATTAAAAACAGGACCAGAATAATATAAAATATGACATTTTATGTAATACTTTTAAAAATAGATTTATGGGGCAGTTACAAAAATAGGAGACTAGATGTGGTACAATAATATTTAAATTTAAATAGAAATATATTTGCATTTCTGATTTTTTTAATTAAAACCTGAAAATACAACATATTTTTTAAAGCTATAAATTAGATTCAAGATTAGTGGTTATTTGAAAATATGTTATTTGAATTCTCACTATGCTTTAGAGATCAGATGAAATAAGTATTTTTTAGTCATTTTGAGTCTTTAAATACAAAGTTACATTTCAGAGATTCTTTAGATGACCAGAAGGCCAGAGAGATGAAGTAATTCTTTCAAGTCTTAAAAAGGCTATCTTATTACCAACATAGGATTTTTAAATAGTATAAATTATGGAATGTTATTACTTAAAAGTTATTTCAGGGACATTACTTTTTTAAAGCAGGAATGCCTAAGATTTAGAAAACTTTTTCTAAATTCATTAATTTGGTAATTAATCTACATACCTTTCCTAATATATATATTGTTTTCTATTAACTTTGTCATGCTTTATTGTAGCTTAAGCAAACACAACATTGCACCATACTATCATTTGTTCCATTTCATTAATAATGCTTATGTATGTATACTTTATTTGCAAAGGGAAAGTTTTATGAAGCAGTTTATTGATCGCCAGCAACAGGACACTTGCTGCCTCTTAAGAAGCCTTCCATCAGCCTCTTCCTCATCGTGTGATCACTCTAAACGGTCTGCAATAGAGGATAACAAATACATTGACCAAAAAGTAAGAACCACTGTCTCAGATAACCAATTTTTAAGCATATATTTTAGAAAACAAAACCACATAACTGTGTGAGGTTCTGAAATGTTTCAGAATCATAATGAAGAAAATTTTATTTGTAGAAGAAATCATTATATCTAACATTTTTGATTTTATGAATTTAAATTGCACATTTCTACCAATGAGCTTTTGACCCATGCCAGGTAGCAGACACACGAGTTTGAATAGGTCAAGACCCTCCCCAAACCTGTGTTTTCTCACATGCAAAAGGAAGGGGTCTCATCTCTAAGGTTTAGCACAGCTTTAATGGTTGCCTAAATGTTGCCTTTTAAAAGAAACTATGCTGATATCAGTGGTTATACTCCAGAGAGACTAATCAGAAGAGCAAGTGTCTCTAAAATCAGTGAAAATAACTACCATTTATTGAGTATTTACTGTGTGGCAGGAATTTTTTCTAGACACATATCTTACTCGTACTCTGATTTACCTATTTCTTTATCACTTGAAAATAAGATAGGGAATTATTATCTCATATTTCACCTTTAGGAAATTAAAGATCAATAACAGAGTATATAAAGATTAAAGACTAGATTTTGCAAAGGCATCTAATTTATTTGCAAGTATTTCTCTAAGTCCTAATTTATTTTTTACTTCTTTAAATCATTACTGCCCTTTTTCTATTGCTTATTATCAAATATATATTTGTCTACTATCATTTAAAAATACAATAACAACTTTTTCATCTTCCCATATTCTCTGTTTCTCCATTATCCCCTACTTGATAAAGATTATACTTTCAGAGTACCGTTGTTTTTCTCCTCTCTTTCTTTTCCACCATCTCCTCTCCAAACTTGAACTTTTCCCCCTTACCACCCCACCATCAATTCCTCTGTTCTCTGCTGTAATTTAGCAATTTTGTTCTCAATTTTGATCATAATTTCTTTTGCAATACACATGTTCTTGTTCATGGATTTTTATTTAATTTCTTTTGATCATCAATGGGTATTATTGTTCTATATTATAGACTCCAAGATTATAAATGACAAATCTGATGCTAATGTCATTTTTTTCACTTGAAAGTAATTAGGTTTGCTGTTGTTGTTGTTGTTAGTTGGCTGACTGGTTGTTTGCTTGGTTTTATGATTTCTTTGGGAAATTTTAGGGCTTTATGCATATCCTAGAGTTCAGAATCTTACTGGGATATACTTTGTATGTCCTTTAGCATTTGAACTGTCCAAATTGGGGAGTCTTTTCAGGTTGCAAACTGATATTTGTTGGGAAATTTGTATTTGTTATTTGTTTAATTATTACTTTTCCATCTACTCTTTTTTCCCCTTATGATTGGCATCTCTCTATTTTTCTTCGGTTTTGAAATATTTATTCATTTGAAATATTTGTTCTTAACTAAAATTATTCTTTGCTTTTAAATTTTAAGCAAATATTTATGAAATGCATATGTGCATATACATGCATATGCAATACTCTTAACTCACCTTAAAAACTTAAACTATTTTTTATTATTACTATAATAAAATAAGTACAGGGCCTGGACACAAAAGTTCATACATGAACTAATAATCAGGTGGAAAATACTAAGAGCCTGGTTTTGTCCAATCAGTCTGCAATTGCATTTTACACACTAGGAACACATATTGTTTACTTTAGAAATTTATTTCAAAAGACTCTAATCCAAAGATGTACAATGAATCTCCAGGCTGTTACCAGCTATCTCTAGGAAGAGTGTGGAGAGCTGATACCATTTATGCTGAAAGTAGAAAATTCAGAATATGCTTCTTTAAAATCCCTAATAACATTTCCCCACTGGAAACACAAAATTAAATCTTAGCCCATGAAAATTTATTTTCTCTCCAGAGGGAAACATGCTGTTTCTTATATTTTTGAGCAGCATGTTTTGAAATAAGTAAGAATATGATTAAAATATTTTTGGAAGGTGAGAAGGGTTGGGGTCTGAGTCTGAGGAGAATTTGGTGAACTCTTTTGTGTGCTTGCCATCATCCTGCCCCAGAGATCTCTGTGCAGGCTACACTCAGAGAATTTCAAATGCCATTTCTGATCTCTTTATTGTTCTTATATTATTGTGGCTCTTTAAAATCTTCTCATTTAATAGTTATTTTAACTAACTGAAAGTATGATTACGATTAGTTTTATTTTATAAATTTACACTTCAGCCTTTCTCATAATCTCCTAAAATATACTGAACTGGCAACACACTGGTTCTCAAATGCTTCTCAGTGGTATCCAAGTGAGTCAGCATCTGAAAGAAACTAGAATTTTTGAAGACTACTGACAGTCCCCAATCTATAAGGGCAGTTGGCTGAAGCACATAGTACATGGTCCAGAACAAGGAAAACTATCAACAATGATTAAGTTGCCCTTCATTACATGTGAGCCTAGTTGGCCCCCATGTAGATTTAACTACAGTTGGAATAATATTGTTTATCCCCTCACAGCCTTCATGATCTGGGTAAATGTTCCAATGCAGAAAGTGAGATGTAGAGAGCATATTTTCTCTTCATCTCAGTGGCCCTATTGTGGCAGCTACAAGAAGACTTACCTGTGTGGCCATCCCTTCTTAAAGCTTTGATGTTATCTAGGTTGCCAGAAAAGTAAACTTAACAATATTTTTCAGGATGACACTCCAACCAACTGAGCCACCAAGCCTGGGCAAACCTGAGTATCTTGAGAGGAGTTTTACTAGTTTCCAAGCAGAAGAAAATCAATCAATGATTTTCTACTTATTTTTCTCTGCATTATAGAAATTAAACCATATATATCTTAAGCAGTGTGCTTGTTAATAAACTGAAATGTAAATTTGGCTTACCAGTAATTCCTGGATGGTATGCCATTTCTGAGGTCAGAACCTGCAATTGTGTGAAGAACATAAGTAAACCTCACAGTTATATCAGCCTGAGACAGATGGAGCAATGAGGGTTGTCCCAGCCAACACCTACACAGTATTGGAACCTATATGTTAAAGAACAGTGAATATTTCTCAAATTGGGCAATATCTGCACTTGCTCTCTCTCTCTCTCTCTCTCTCTCTCTCTCTCTCTCTCTCTCTCTCTGTCTGTCTAAAACATCCATTGAGACACTTAGTCCATGCCAAAAGGTCCATGAAATTTGGTCCTGTCCAAAATCTCCATAGAGTCATTTGATCTGCACAGTTAGTACACATCTCACCCCTCTGCAACATCTGAAACCCAACCCATCTACCTAACCCTATGTGCTATTACCAGTAAGCTACCAATGCAAGAAGAGTTATTACTGATAATACAATATAGCCACAACACAATTATTGTACCAATAAAACATGATAGCATTTTATGGATTAATCTTGTGAACCAAAAGTATAAATAAACTTTGTTTTTGAATCTACTGGCAGTTTTCTAAGTGTGGACATTTTGATGGGATCAAATGTTAAGGACCCTTTGGTATGGGCCACATGTCTCCATGGACACTTTGGACAGGACTAAATGCCTCGCAGTGCTCTCTTACCTGCCTCCTTTCTGAAAAGCACATAGCAAGTTCCAGATTAAGTCATCAACATGAATAGTTACATATGTACAAAATAAGGTGGGAAATGATCAAAGTCATTACTATATTTTGTTTACCCTTTTCATAAGTTGCCACTATTCACTCAGTCATTCAACAGACATTTATGAAGCACTTGTTATTCATCTGACATGCTCTTCAGCTGTGGGAAAACACATGTAAATGTATGAAAGTAAAAAGTATTACAGGAACACAAGACAAAGCCCAAGATCTTCTTACAGGAGAGCAATATAGGAAGAAGGTGCTTCAGGCGGTGGGGGAGGCATATGGAAAGTCATGGACACCATAATATGCTTGACATAATAGATTGTGAGAAGCAGTGTAGTAGAATAGTGATGAAGTGATGCAGCTTCAACCTTATGTATAAAATAGAGATTATTATTTTTAAGGTTTTTAATTAGAATTAAATAATGTTAAATGCACAGCATATGTTATATGCCTATCACACCAAATAAGAACTCATGCCATGAAGTCCCACTCAGGAAATAGACTTATATTATTCAATCAAAACAATGACTCCAGTTATACAGATGAACCTTCAGCTATAACAGTGTAGTTGAGCACTGTATATTAAGTACTGTTTTATTCTCCTTATGTCCATGAGATTTTTTTTTAGTCTGCTTTTTAATGGTATTTTAGTTACTACCCCCATTGCTTGTCTTGTGTCTTAGACCCTCAAAAAGTAAATTAAATTGTTCTGGAAAGATTCACTCTTCACAAAGTATCATTGATTGCCAACAACACTTTGTAATTTTCTATGTGATTATAGAGTATTTGATGATTTGTTCCAGTAACTCCACATATAGCAAGTTATTCATTCTGATCTGTAATTTCCAGGATGAACATTTACTCACTTAAAAAAGAGAACAGTCTATTTTCATCTTTAGGGCTTTTGCTCTTAAATAAATTTCTAAAATAATAGCTTAGCATCTCTGAAATGCCATTTAAGACATTTCTCTAGGAGAAGAGTAGATTATATGATACTACTACCTAACCAGGGCCTGTTTTGCAAAGATATGATGTAGTGTGTGGTCTAGAAAAGGGAAGCAGTGGTGTTCAGCAGACTGAATATGAAAACCCTATGTACACACTTCTCTCTTTAGCATAAAAATGTTTTAGTATTTCATTGATTGCTCATTTATTTACAATAATGGAGAGGAAACAAAAAATAAGTGAAAACTTTTTTTCATTTTTATTGATCTTTGTAATATGCTTTGAGCTCAGATTAAAATATGGCTGCATTTGAGTGCACATTCTTTTATTCAACAGTCATTTTTTGAGAACCTTTAAATGTATGGGTTGTGGGTAAAAAACACATTTTGTTGCTTTAAACTAACATGAAAATAGGAATTTCCTATCAATTATTTTTCTGCAGAATATTTAATTGTGTAATCATTTTTAGTTTGGGGTTATATGTAATTTATTTGCAT